GTGGAAGTGTGGGCTCAGCGTGGGAGCCACAATGGGTCCCTCCACGTGCCACACTCCGGTCTTCACACCCACCTCTCTTGCCCTTCCTACTCTGAGTAGTCCACACACCATCCTTGGGGATTTGCACTCAAGGGTCTTTGGAATCTCTGGAAGTGGCATTTTCGTGACGCCCTCTGAGGGCAGCACCACACCCTCCATTTTGAAAACCGTGGGTTGCACGGCATGGCAGGTGGCTAGAAGAAAGAGATCCGGCTTCTTCCAAGCATAGCCAGGGCCTGCTTGTGGATGCTGGCTTCCCTCAAGTTCCGGGATTCACTTTCTCAATATGCTTCCTTTGTAAACCAAAGGTCCCCATGGCTTGATAAAAACCTGCATCGAGCCAGCATGTTGTACAAACACACCTGGCCCTTCAGAGCTGGTGTAAAAAGTTATTTCTGCCGGTAGAAGCAACCAAAACAGCATCTCTCTGGTGGGCTGTTTGCAGTTGATATTGTATTTTTCGGATGTTTTAATTCACGTGCCAGGTTTTGAACCAATTAATTCGAGTCCCCGGATTTGCATTCAAAAATTGAACCAGACCAGGCTGAGCTCTTAGTGAAGCATTAAAAAAGGTGGTTTACAAAAGGAAGAAGGAATGCCAGTCTGGAAGCAGAAAAGCAGCGGTGGCTTGGGCCTGGGGCCGGCTTCTTTGTATTTGAGGGGCCGCCTCAAAGAGGAGGGGTGTGTGTGTGTGTGTGTGTGTGTGTGTGTGTGTGTGAACCTATTTTCCGAAGTTTTGTTTAGCAGATACATTCCCATTGTGCCTCCTGATTGTGAGGCAAGATTCTCCTCCTCTAGGCCACCGTACCACTCAGCTTACAATGTAATAAAAGTTTTAAAGATCTCAAAAAACCCCCAGTTAAAATAGAATAAAATGTTAGAAATTAAAACAAGAAACCAAGACAATGGACAGCCTTAGGGTGAGAAATCTTCTCCCCAAGGCTGAGCCAGCTTTTTGGACTCTCCGAGAAGGCCGGCCGTGTGGGATGCATCTCCCCTCTTCTAGGGGGACGTCACAGGGGTGGGGGCCACCTCAGAAATGGCTCTTCTCCTCAACCCCGCTTGCCCAAATTCTTTGGCCGACGGCATCCAGAGCTTCCCACTGGAACGAGTAGGGCAGCCTATTTATTTAATCTATCTATCTATCTATCTATCTATCTATCTATCTATCTATCTATCTATCTATCTATCTATTTATATTTATGTTGTCAAGCAATTATAAGATAATGGGTATAAGTTTAAACATAGTTATGGATACATATAAGAAAAATAAAAGAAAGAAAAAGAAAAAGAAACAATAGGACAGGGACGGTAGGCATGTTGGTGCGCTTATGCACGCCCCCTACAGACCTCTTAGGAAAGGGGTGAGGTCAATAGTAGACAGTCTAAGGTTAAAGTTTTTGGGGTTTGGGGAAGAAACTACAGACTCAGAGTATTCCAGACATTGACCGCTCTGTTGCTGAAGTCGTATTTCCTGCAATCAAGTTTGGTTAACCTTAACTTTGTAACTATTGTGTGCTCTTGTGTTGTTATAGTTGAAGCTGAAGTATTCATTTGCAGGTAGGACATTGCAATGTATGATTTTATATACTTAGATCGGACCGAAGGCGGCATAGTTCTAGGTTTTCTAGGTCTAGAATTTCAAGTCTGGTGGCCTAAGGTCTTCTGCAAGGAGTAGAGGAGTGGAGAACTCTTCCTGTGAAATATTTCTGGACTTTCTCAACTGTGTTAATATCAGATACATAATGTGGGTCTAATCCCAGTGGGGTCAGATGGTTCCTCAGAAACGTGCAACTCCCAAGAAACTGGATGTGGGAGAGCAGATCTGCAGCCGGCATCTTTGGCCTGATTTGCTCCTCCAACATTGCTATATTCCCAAACCAGACTCCGTCCCAGCCCACTCGTACTTTTTCCTGCTCAACAGCGCAATCCTGGCAGCGTCTCCTCCTCGCCCGCCTGCCTCGTTTGGGACCCCGTCTACCCTGGGCTCTTTCCGTTTGTTCAAAACTTGATGTGAACTTGGGGGGGGGGGGGATGCTCAGAGGGGAGGAGGGAGAAAAGAAAAGAAAAAGCCAGAGGCCCCCCCTCCCCTTTCTTATTGCAGCCTCATTGCTGGGTGGCCCCAGTGGTGGGATTCAAGCGGTGTAGAAACTGGTTTGGTGAGTGTGCGCTTTGCGCATGCGCGCAGCGTTTCAAAACCACCCAATTTCAGTTCTAAAACTTACCTTCTGCTGTGAGAAAAACAGATCAGCTGGGCTGCAAAACATGGAAATAAAGAACAGACTAGGGCAGGGTGGGTGGGCAGGGCCAACTAATCACCGGAACTACCGGTTCACCGGAACTGGTCCGAACCGGCTGAATCCCACCCCTGGATGTCCCCCTGTCCCGGCTGATGGGATCAGCAGGAAAGCCAGGGAGCCTGGCATTCAGGCAGGGCAGCCAGAAGTGGGCAGGGCCGTTCTCTCCTGGCCAGTTCAAGGCTAAGGTGGAGGGCAGGGCCCGGGGATCCTTTGTGCCCCTTTGAAACCTGCACACACACACACACCCCGCATCGCCCCTCTTTCACGACCACTTGAATTCACACACCACCAGGTGGCGCTGGAGGCTCCATCCTGTTTCCTCTGCTGGAACCAGAGAAGAAACAGAATGAAAATAAATAAATGTATTTAAATTTGGAAATAAGTACTTTGGTTTCCACCTGGAGACCGCTTCTGAACTTCCTGCTTGATGTGGAAAAGAATGAAACTCTGACTTTGGGTTTTATCGATTAAACGGGTAGATCTTTACGGAAGTCGCTTGTTCATAATATTATGAAAAAGCAAAAAGCTGTGATTTGATGTTAAGGCCTTATTTTACTGTAACAGAGAGAGTTGGAAGTCAGTGCTTCTTTTTTCTTTTTTTCTTATCTTTCCTCACTTCTCTTTCCCTTCCCCACCCCCGCTTTTCTGTTTACTTTGTATTTTGTATTTTATAATGCTTTATAATTCAATTTTAAAAAATTGGAAATCCAATGAAATAGGAAGGAAGAGCTAGTGTTTAAGTCTTTTAAAGACCATCAATGATACCAAGTCTATTCCTGTTTTATATTTTATTGACTGCTTTTGGAAGCATTGCCTGAGCTATTGCTCCCAGCAACGGCCTGCCCCTTACAACAGGGTCCCCAACCTTTCCGGCTTTGTGGACCAGCCGGGGATGGCTGGGGGGGGGGGAGAGGGGATGGTTCTGCATGAGTGATAAGCAAGCGTGCACACGCACACAGTTCCATTTGCACGAGTGGCACGCACACATGCCACTTGTGCAAATAAAGCGTGCACACACGAGCTTGCCTACTGTTTGCACAAGTGTGGGTGTGTGCGCCCACACCCTCACCCAGGGGTGGGATTCAAAAATCCCAACAACCAATTCTCTGCCCGGTTACTGGGTGGGTGTGGCCATGGTGGCCATGGCTTTCCTAGAACCGCCAGGAGGGCTGTTTTTCACCTTCCCCAGAGTCCGGAGGCTTCCCTCGGGCCTCTGGGAGGGGGCGAAAATGGCCTCCCGGGGCTCCAGAGCCCCTCCAGAAGCTGGAGACAGGCCTGTTTCCTGATTTCCAGAACTTCGCTCTCCCAGAGCCTCCGCAAAGACCCTGCACTCAGCTGCATCCAAAATGGGCTGTGTGGCGACTCCTGGGAGGAGTGCGGTGCAGTGGGCGGGGCCAGCCGGTTGGTTCAACTACCGGTTCAGCAAACCAGATGTAAATTTGACATCCAGTTTGCCCAAACCAGCCCGAACCGGCTGAATCCGACCCCTGCCCTCGCCCACCACTTCCACGGCCCAGTTTGGAAGGGCTCAAGGCCCAGGTGTGGACGGCGGCCTTGAGATTGAGGACCCCTGACTTGCAGTGAGAGGCGCTTTCTTCTGGAATTCACTTCCATGGAAGGCTAGGCTTCGTTCAGGGCCATCGTAGTGGTGCCCTGAGCATGGACGTGGCCTCCCTCTGGTGCATAGCCTGCCCTTTTACCCAGGCAGCTGGGTTATGAACCAAGGTCCCCAGGCAGATCCACACCCCACACACTCTCCTGGTTGGCTGCATGCACACCGTGTCCCCTCCTCTCGCTTTCACACTGTGCCCCACAGCCTAAAAGCTCCGGCAGAGCTTGGTTGGGGCAGCCTGTGCCCTCTCAGGCACTGGGCCCAGGTTTAAATAGCGATAGCAGATATTCCTTCAGTTCATGGCAGATTTCAAACACGAGGAGTAACGTGTTTTTAAGGAAATCCACTTTTTGTCCTTTACTTCCTTCCTCACTTATCCCACAACTCAGTGCGACCTTTCCTAAAGGATCCAAAACCTGGCAGATATTTTGGTTCAAAGGTTTGGCAGCAGTGGTGGGATTCAACCGGTGCAACAACCAGTTTGGTGGGCATGTGCTTTTGAAAATAGAAGGAAAACTTACCTTTCACTGCAGCCTGGGTGAGTAAAAACAGCTGAGGCGCACCAATCCAGGCTGCCTCACTGATCAGCTGGGCTTCAAACAAAGAAATATAGCGCAGAATAGAGCAGGGGGTGTCTGGGCGGGGCCAAAGGATTGCTGGAACTACCGGTTCACCTGAACCGGTCCGTACTGGCTGAATCCCACCCCTGTTTGGCAGCCCTTTGCCTTGTGAAAAGTGGTGGGGCTGGCAAAGCTCCCAGCTTGGGCATTGATGGGCCTCTTGGCAGGCAATGGCTGAAGAAGCCCCTCCCAGGGGGCAGTTTTCCCAGCACTCTCAGCTCCAGTGACCCCTTTGGCACCCAGTGCTAACATTCATTCCTGCCCAGGTCAGCCAAGCCTAATTCCCGTGTTCACACCGGGTCAGATCAATCAATCATTTTGACTGCTTGCCTAGAATTCAGAGAGTGATAGGGTGGCCTCAGTGCTCAGCTCAGCCTGACGTTTTTTGTGCCAGCCTTCCCATGTCTGATGAGGTCCTTCTTTTGCCAGGGACCACCTGGACGTGCAGGGCTTCCTGGTGCGGATGGTTTGCCAGGCCCGCCTGGGACGATGCTGATGTTGCCGGTGAGTATGACTTCCCAGGGCTTGCTTCTTCCGTTGAGTAACGACTGCAGACCCATTGAGAGCCGTGGTGGTGCAGTGGTCAGAGTGCAGTACTGCGGGCTGCTTCTGCTGACTGCCGGGTGCCTGCAATTTGGCAGTTCGATTCTCACCAGGCTCAAGGTTGACGCAAACTTTCGTCCGTCCAAGATGGGTAAAATGAGGACCCAGATTGTTGGAGGCAAGAGGCTGACTCTAAACTGCTTAGAGAGGACTATAAAGTTATGTAAAGTGGTATATAAGTATTGTTTACAGAGGAAGGCGTGGGAAGAAGGTCACCCAGGAATGAAGGAGGTGCATTCCTGCCTTGGTGGCTGTGCAGAAAAGGGTTTGACCCCACAACACTTCAGAATCCAAGAGGAAAAAGCTACCTTTTCCCCTCAAATCCAAAAAATCCAAAACTCTTCAGTATAAGTCACAACAGCTACTATTCTGGGTTTTGTTTTTTTGGGGGGGCGGGGGGTTATGGCATTAGAAATCCAGAAGCAGAGGTCCGCCCCCCAAAGGCTGCTGAAAGCAGGATCCGTCCAGCCTCCCTCTGTGGCCAGTGAGCCAGTGGGGCTGTAAGAGCGGTGGGCTCTGTGGGGTCTCCCACATTTTCTCCCTTCGACCCCCCTCACCGCTGGGTCTTCCTTGTTCTCCAGCTGTCTTCTTGGCTCCGTCTCTTCCTCTTGAACATTCAGATGAAATTGTTTTTAAAACGGCATTCGTGCTGCGTATTGGAAGTGGCAGGCCCCTCGCCCTCCCAATTCAGCCCTCTCCGTTCAGACTGTTAGAGTTTGCAGCAGAAATTCAAGCCCAGAAAACACACAGAGGACTGATTCAGCAGGATCATTAACTTCTTTATAAACATGTAGATTCTTTCAACGTAACATAAACAAAAACACAAGCAGCCAGCAGCAGCAGCAGCTTAGAGCAGATATCAGTTTCAGTTTCAATTCTCAGCAAAGCACACCAAGCCAAACCACACCCAGGCTCTCAGCTCCCATTGGCTGGTCTGTTGCCATGCTTACTCACTTGCTGACTTTGTTAACCATGTCTCTGCCAGTTCATGAATATACTCTGGCAAGAGCTCCACTTTCCGACTTGACTGCACCGTTTCTAGGACTGTTTCTCATCTATCTCGCTGGTCCTACAAGTGGACCTGTGAATGTCTCTGCCCTGTTTCCAGTAATTTGAAGAACAATGGTCAAAACCATCACATAAATTGGTGCCTTGAAACATTTTGAAACGAAGAGAAGACTTAAGCGAGACCCAATAGCGTCCTTCCAATGCTCGAAGGGCTGGCACAGGGAAGAGAGGCTGGCTTGTTCTCCAAAGCGCCAGAGGGCAGGACAAGAAGCTCATTAGAGAGAGATCCAACCTGGAACGAAGGAGAAATCGTCTGACAATGAGAACGATTAAGCAAGTGAACAACTTGCCTCCCAGGGTTGTTGATGCCCCGTTGCTGGGGGCTATGAAGACGAGATTGGGCAACCTTTGTCCAGGACGGTATAAGGTCTCCTTCCTTGGGCAGGAAACTTGGGAGCTGGGGGTGGGATGGGGTCACTCAGAATTACCACTGAGAGCAAAACCACCCAAAAAAGCAACTTGGTGGGTTACTTGATGAGTAAGATGAGCCGTCTTGCTGCCATCAAAACCCTGCAATATTAAATCCAAATTCCCTTTATTATATTTTTCTGGTACTGTCCCTAACAAACATATTCCTGGCTTATAATCTATATGCAGCTTGAACATCTTTTTCTAACCATGTATGTATTTTTATCCAATATGCCACACGTCCACCACACGTGATAGTACGTGCCTGGTTTTCTCTGCACCCCTTTTATGGGAGCCTGGCCGTAGGTGGGCTGCACGAGAGCAGATACATGCATCTGGGGTGGGAGGTTCTCTCCCTGCTTGTTTTGTGTGGGGCTGGGGGCCTTGAGAAGTGCTGGAAGAGGAAACCCTCTTTATGACAAGATGGCTGAGCAATTGTGATTTGCAAAAAGTACCTTGTTTTATTTTGTGCCTGGTTGCGTTTTGTTGGGTGTCGGGTTGCTCAGCCAAGCTTTGACTCTCTGCTCTTGCTCCCTTGCAGTTCCGGTTCAGCGGGGGTGGAGATGCGGGCTCGAAAGGACCCTTAATCTCCACCCAGGAGTCCCAAGCACAAGCCATCCTGCAGCAGGCCAGGGTGAGTACCCAGGGCCCCACATGTTCTCTTTGGCCCCATGGATGCAGCCAGACTTGCTTAACAACCTTGTTCACTCACTTAACAAATGCAGTGATTCATTTAACAATCAGTCACATGGTCCAATGGAGACATTGTCTGGTTGTCTGGTGACCACACTCCTCCTTCCATGTGTCCAGGCATGAGAGAGAATGTCCTTGATTCTCAAGAGAAAGTATTTTGTTTTGACTACACAAACCCGCTGTCACGATTCCGGCAGTTTCCCCCATTTAAATCATGAGTCTCGAGCCAAACTTCCAAACCTTAAAAAGGATTTATTGGGAGTTAAACTGTCCGGCACTGCTTGGGTGATTATGAGAGTTGGCTTGCTGTCAGGATTCCAGCAATCGCTCTAATTAAATCATGATTCTCAAGCCAAACTTCAAAAAACTTCAAAGGATTTATTAGAGGCAGCATGCCAGTAAGTCATCTGTCAACTCGTAAAACATATTGTATACACGTTTTATAGTTGACCACAGAAAGAAGGGGGGGAGTTTTAAAGAGCAGGCGGCAGTGTGGAATTGAAAGTACATTCCATTCATATTTTCTTCAGAGGCTGATTAGATGACTGAAGCTTCTGCTGTGCAAAAATCTCATTGGAGAGCACGATTGATGACTCTTGGCTATGGGCGTGTTTCGTTGGATGATACACCCAGAGGGGGTGGGGTGGGGGAAGCAGGATCAAGGGTGACAGTGAATTACGTATCTCAGAGTCGGCTATGCCCAGGCAAATGCCAGATGTAGAATGTTAACTTCTAATAAATCCTTTTTAGTTTTGGGAGTGTGGCTCGAGGCTCATGGTTTAATTGGAGTAACTGCTGGAATCCTGACATTGCCCCTAATAAATCCTTTGAAGTATTTTGAAGTTTGGCTTGAAAATCATGATTTAATTAGAGCGATTGCTGGAATCCTGACACCCCTCTAATCACCCCTCCCTTCCCCTCAGCTCCAGTGTGGCAACACTGAAGCTCCAATATGGCTCCGGTCAGGTCAGCTTCAGGGTTGACAGTCGGGGTCCTTCTCCCCCAACTTACATATCTTGCTCCTTGTGGGACAGTCCTCACATGCAGATCGGACGTGCCCAGTTTAAAGACCCATCTGCGCCTTCTGACCAGATTGTGGGTCTGCCTGGGGTTTTAAATCTGGCTTTAAGCCTTGCAGCCTTTTGGGAAGCCATGCATTGCCTTGGATTTTGTTCTGGAAGCTGAGCTGTTTCCCCCTCCCCCTTTCTTTCTTTTTTTCTTTCTTTCTTTCTTCTTGCTTTTTCTCTTTTAATTGGGCAGCAGTTAAAACACTCAACTCCCATTCACTGCCTAATCTCTGTTCCTATGACTTCCTGGCTGCTCTAGTTGCAGGGCTGGGTGGATTTTAATTACAGAAGGAGATAATCACCAGTCTTTTAAGGTATTGAATTCGAGCAACGGAACAAATTTGTCCCTGCAAGGTTATAAAAGGGTGGACAGCCCCATTACCTACCCAAAGATTTATTGACTCTCGTGGAGCTACATGACTTTTTAATTAGTGGGTTTTTAAAAAAAATAAAAATAAAACACGACAGTGACATTTTAAGCTCTTCATGTAGCGATATAAAGTCGTTGTTAAATTATTCCAGATTCTCCGACTTCTCACCTCCTACCTCTCTGTCTATATCTGGGATGTATATATAATCTGATTATTTTGGTGCACTGGGAATATGACTGTACTTGGCTTAGGAGGAAGCACAGGTTGGCTGCTAACCCTCTTGTACTTCAGAAGTACGGCTCCCGAGTTTGTCTGCTCCGGTTTTCTTGGGAGGAAATCCCCACAAAGATTCCTTTGCCTCTTTCGGTTGGGCTGCTTAGCCCAATTCTTAGTGCTGAGCTTGCAAAAGGCACCGATTCTGCTTACAGAGTTGATTTGATCCCCTCCCTGGGTGAAACCATTTCACTTCACAGGCTGAGTTTGCAGGGCACCTCCATCTTCCAAAAAAAAAAAAGAAAAGAAAAGAAAAACCTTTACCAGGTTTGCCTGTTACCTGTAGTGCGAATGCTTTGAAGTGGCCTGTGTCACACATGTGAATGCAGCATGCGTGTTTATATACTAGTTGGTTTCATTCAGTTCTGCAGAGCCTTTCACAAAATGCCCACCTAAAGAACCACCTGAGGCTACAAGAAGGGGCATTGGACTGCCCTGGACAAAGTCCAGTCCTAGAACAGCAGCCCCCCCCCCTCTCCTCCCCTCCCCTCCTCTACACTCCTCTTCTCTACACCCCTCCCCTTCCCTCTCCCCCTCCTCCTCCCCTCCCCTCCTTCTCTCCCCTCCTCCTCTTCACTCTCCCCTCCCCTGCCCCCTCCTCTCTCCATGCCTTTTCCATTCTTCTTACACTCCTCCCCTGCTTCTTCCAGCGTCCGGGTAAAGATGGCTTCAGTGCATACCCTTTTATTCCAAATTGTGCAGAACTGCCTGTCCCTTGTACACCCCGCTCTCCGTAGCTATAAGCAAGAAGCATCTGAGCCAGGTGCTTATAAAGACCAGTGGGGGTGTTGACACGGCCGAGAGGGGCTTACAAAGGCCCTGAAGCCCCCTCTTCCTGGAGAGACCAGGCCCTGGGTGGCTGCCCCCTGATGCCGTTTCTCTCTTTTTCTGCAGCTGGCTCTGAGGGGACCAGCTGGCCCAATGGGACTGACCGGAAGACCAGGTCCCATGGTGAGTAAACCCCCTTTCCCACAGCGCTGGGCACCACTTTCCATAACTTTGAAATGAACGAATGTGTTGTGGTTCACCGGCGGCCTGTGCAGACGGCAGCGGAATTGGACAGTGGGGAGGAACATGGGCCAGTCTGGGAGTCTGGGGAGGACTCAGACAAGGGCCCTGCATCTGATGCAGAGATGGGGCCAGGGCCATCTGGGAGTGGGGTGCTCCAGAATCTGGCAGCAGCGAGGCAGAGGAACAAGGGGAGCCTGTTCCCAGTGCGCATATGCACAGAGCTGCTAGAAGGCAAGAGCAGCTGAGACAAAAGGGGCGACTTGGGAGTAAGCCTTGGAGGTGATTGGCCCTTCCCATAAGGAATAAAGGAAGTGCAAAGGTAGAGAAACCTTTGCGGGAAGCAACGTCGTTCACTCTGTTCAGATTAAAACTTGAAGCTCTGTGTGGACTTTGCACTTCGGTTGTTTTTTTTTTAGTTAATTTGGCACTTTAGTTGTTGGCAGCAATTCAAAGGAAAGAAAGGTGGGTGCTTATCTCGAGGGACTGTTTGGGACTCATTACGGGCTGGGAAAGAACATAATTCCCAGCGTTGAAATAAAATAAGAGTTGTTTGGACTAAGCGTGTGCTTAATTAACGGTCTCAGGATGTCTTGGTCAGAACAGAATGCAGAGCAGCGCAGTTGATCTTGCCCCAATGAGGAAGCGTTGGGTTCTGGGATAAATACTTACAACTACTGAAACATTTTGAAAGGTGCTTTCTGTTTTGTGAGGCATGGGGTACAACCTGAGCCCACAAATCACAAGGCCTGAAGGTACTGGGTCATCGGAAGGTACCCAAAATGGCATCATCGCGTCATTCTTTAATTTTGTGGGGCTGGGCGGGTGAAATATTATGGATAATATACGAGAGTAGTAACATTTTAAGTGTTCCATGTAAGTGAAGCAACAAATAAGTGTGGACCCTATTATTCTGGTGTCAAGGGACCCACGTTTTCCGATGGCTCCGCAAACACTCTTGCACTGAGCTACCATACACTCTAAGAATGATGGTCAACTCACATCAAAGGAACCGTGGTTCGGCTATTCACACCAATTCAAACTTTGTCCCAGTTTGTTTAATGGTTTGCTATGTTAGAAGGGAGACATAGAAGCAGGCAGCGCGTTGGGCAGCCCTGGAATCATTGAACTCACGTGCGTTTTGAAGGGTGACGCACAGGTTTTGTCACAGCCAAAATGGTGCCAAGTTCTCATCGTTTCGTGGTTTTTTTGATTACCCAAACTTCTTTTTTTAAAAAACAAATTTTATTAATTTTCAAAGACAATACACAAACAAACAAAACATAAAACGTAAGAACATAAAACATCTTTTCTAAAAACTGCTTATTAAGTTTTAACAAAACAAATAAAACATCTTGTTTACCCAAACTTCTTTGCAGTGGGCAAAGGGGCTTTACCCCCCCAGTCATAGAGGATATGTGATTCTGTCCTTGAAAAAGATACTGAGAGAAACAGTCCCAAGCTAGAGTTGATTCATTTATGTGCTTTCTGCTGCTCATGTCAGCATTTGGCAGAAATGTTCACATTGTGCCACATTATGCGAGATGTTGAATTCTTTAAGAAGTGGGTTTCGTTTGCCTTGGATAAAACAGCCTCGTTCCCTGACTTTGGACTGCAGTTTTCGTTGCTTACAAACTTTTCATTGCTTACAAACTTAGTGAAGGAGTCAGGGGGGAAAAAAGTAGCTTTGGGGTCAGGAGTTGGAATGAAGTCTTACTCAGAGAAAAATCAAACTCCGAGGGTAGATTCCATGGAAGGTTAGCTTGGAAGGACTCAAACCCAAACCCTTCCTAGGCAGGGACGCAACATTCCTGGACATGTGGCTAGGAGTCTCTGTTTAAAGACCTCCAGCCAGGGGTGGGGCTGCTGGGGGTTCTCAGGGGTTTGGGAAAGCCTAGCTAAGATTCTGTGCAGTTTGGAGAACCCCCAAATCCCACTCCTGGCTGCACCCCCTGCCCCTCCCCTCCCAGGAGTCCCCACAGGGCCCGTTTTGCATGCAGGTAAGTGCAAGGGGCACACAGAGGCTCGGGGAGAGCAAAAAACGGGCCTCCTGGAAGTTCGGGAAGGCTGGAAATGGGCCCGTCCGGAGCCTGGGGAGGGTAAACCCCTCCCTCCATGGTGCAGGAGGCTGACTAGGCTACGCCCCACCATGGCCACGCCCACCCAGCAACCAGGCAGAGTGTTATGATATGTACAGAACAACCCTTGAGTAACAAGGTTAGGCACATGGAAATGTTTATGAGAGTAGTTATGAATAATTATTCAGCCACACACAGATACACCTAATTGAGTAAAGTTTATTTTATGAAATAGCACAGTCCAATAAACGGTCCAGGTCATATACGTTTAACAGTCCAAAGAATATCCAATTACAAAGTCTTCTTACTGGTTGCCTTTGTCATTTACAGTAAACAAAGATATCAAAGTACAAGCACAGCATAAATACAACAGAGAAACTTAGATAGCAACAGAATGTCAGAGAGAGCAAGCCATGATCTCTAGCTCCCTCTTATGGTAATTTGCCATATAATCAACCAATCGGAATATAGTATAAATCAATACAGTGATTTTGTCTTAAAGCTACAAACATACATTGTTGGTTTATATACTGCCAACCCAACTAATTGGCGGACAGATTCCTAACGCAGAGAATCCTTTGCTAACGTTTTTGAAGCCCACCCCTGCCCCCAGCCCAGGATGTCCTCCTGCCCTCTGTGGGCAGGATATCTTCTCTGCCAACAGCCCTTAGTGTTGCTAAATGGAAATCAGCTTTCGAGTCAGTTAGTTCCCTGCTTCTCCTCCTTGGAAGAGCCACAGTGGTCACGTGGAAGGCAATTATTCAGCCCTTTAGATACTTGAAGCAGCCGATCGTGCCTTCCATTCAAGCCTCCTGTTGACTCTCATTACCCGTCAATAGTCATTATTTAGCAGCTTGAATCCTATTGAGTTAATTTCCTTAATGCCTGTTGAGAATAGAACTTAAAAGGCGAGATGTAGCAGCACATCTTTAAGGTGGCTTTTAAAACTGAAATGGTGTGGACGAGGTGAGCCTTAGAGGGATGCGGTGGCTCAGGGGCTAAGACGCTGAGCTTGTTGGTCAGAAAGGTGGGCAGTTTGGCGGTTCAAATCCCGAGCGCTGCGTCACGGAGTGAGCTCCCATTCCTCGCCCCAGCTTCTGCCAACCTAGCAGTTCGAAAGCATGTGAAAAATGCAAGTAGGAAAATAGGGACCCCTTTGGTGGGAAGGGAACAGCGTTCCGTGCGCCTTCTTTGGCGTTTAGTTAGTCATGCTGGCCACATGACCACGGAGACGTCTTCGGACAGCACTGGCTCTTCGGCTTTGTCAGAGGAGCACCGCCCCCTAGAGCCGGAAACGACTAGCATGGATGTGCAAGGAGGGGAACCTTTACCTTCCTCCCCACTGCGTTTCTGCAATTCTTAAATCCATGTCTGCCCCCTTGGAGGCTTCCCACTTCTCCTGCCTGGATGCAACCGGATCCTTGTAGACCCTTCAGGAAGTGAGTCTTTTCTATGGGTTAAAGGTTGGCTAGGTGCTTGTTGGTGCTGCAGGCCAAGTCTTTGATGAGGTGCTTGCCCAACAGAGCAGCTTCCTTGGTCTGCCAACTCGGTGGTCCTTCGAACCCGCCTCTCCCCACTTCCCCAAGACCTTTGCACACCCAAGGATTGTTTTCCTGATGCGCTTTGTTAACAGTGTCTCTTTTCACACAGGGACCCCCAGGTGGTGGAGGAATCAAAGGTGAATCAGGAGACATGGGACCTCAGGTAGGAGTGATTGGCAAGTGGGTGGGGTCTTTTTTGGAGGGACGGTGGGTGGCTCTGCTTTGCCTCCCGAGTCTACTGAATTTTGCTTTGACTGGGAAGCTTTCTAAAATTAATCATCATCTCCGTTTAAGGACCCCATAATCCCTTGCAGGGTGGAGTCTGGGTAATTGAATGGAGCTGAGTAAACACTGGCCGGATGCCTTTCCTGTCACCAATGAGGAGTTACATTCAGCAGATATATTCCCACGGTGCCCAGAGAGAGAAATATCTGCCTCTACCTAGGATCGAACCCACAGCCTCCTGATTGTGAGGCGAGAGCTCCACCTCTAGGCCACTGCCCCACTTACTCTTGAATTTTGCAGTCTCCTAAATAATATTCTGGGGAGACGCATCAACACGACGTCAAGCCCCCTCCCCCAGGTGCACGCTGTCCCTGCACCTAGTAACAGAGCGGCCGCTCCTGAGCTTCCTTCCTTACCTCTGCACCCTGTTGGGGTCTCGTGGGAGGTGAGAGTCCCTTGGCCTTTCCTCCAAGGTTCTGATTCTCCTTTGGTTCAATTTATTCCAGGGTCCACGAGGCGTCCAAGGCCCCCCAGGTCCAGCAGGGAAACCAGGACGGCGGGTAGGTCAACTCTGAAAGGCTTGGCAAGGCCTGGCAGGTCCAAATGTTCCATGCAAATCCTTGGTCTTGGCCCAAAGACCCTGGTAGGCCCCCTGTGCCAGTCGTTGGCAGCTCGCCCCGAGACAGGACGAGAAGCCTGTTTGGCAGGAGCCCCAAAAGGAACAACGTCCTTTATTCAAATCTGCTTGGGCTCTGATCAAAGCTCCTTCGCAATTCCCAAGTGCTTCGCTCCAAATTCTGCCTGAGTGGCGGTTCTTGAAGATGAACTCAACAAATAAGTGGGTGATACCACCTCCTTTGCTGTGGGAAGAAGGGAAGAATCAGGGATCTCCCCTCTTGAAGACGCAAAGCGGAAGCGCAAAAGTGCAGGTTTGATATTGGGCAAATCCCAGGGATTGTGTCATTTGCCATTGTGTCATTTGCCCCCCCGAGTTGAAGTGTGGAGAAGAAGCTGAAGCAAAACAGAGGTTGTGACTGTAGCCGTGGAAGCAAGAAGCATCTGCTCTTGGGGGGCAATTCGAGAGGAATCCCTGAAGTGCTGGGGGCACCCAGTGCAAACAACAAAGGTGTGAATTGCCAAGGCCTTGAGGTGCGTAGAGATTAATCAGAGTTTTTGCAGCGTTAATTCAAGCGCCAGAGAAATAAACACAGATGGCTGAGGCTTCATTTTACATCTTTATAAACATAAGTAGATTTTACAAACCACTTGTCTTTTTCTCCAACATGGAGCAAACTCAGACAGAAACATGTTGCAAGTAAATTCAGTAGCAACTCAGTTCTGGGTCAGCCAAACAGCAGCTGAGTAAGAGGAAGGGTTCTTATATGGTTCTGTGTTTTTGAGGTTTTGGGATTTGTGCAATATGGGCTTTGAATTTCTAAAAAGGTGTTGGGCAATTCCTATTGTGTGGCTAATGGTTTTCATCCTGTGCTGGATCTTGGTTGACGGGCTGCTGTACTAATCCTGCCATTCTACTTTTGTTACCTGTCAAACTTTTTTTTTTTTAAGCAAGTTTTATTAATTTCAAAAAACAAACAAATCATCATCAACCATTACACATTTGAACCTTTTTCCATTATAGATTTAACAAGTCAGATAAAACCTTATCTTATACAATACATTTCTATATTATTTCATCTATTTCTTTCTGACTTGATTATCGTCACTCTCTTTCTATGTTTCTACAAGGTTTCACCAATACTCTCAAAGACATAAACAAACACAAACATACATATAAAAAATCTTTTAGTAAAGTAACTTGGCCCCAGGTACCTCTCTTTATATGGGCTTTAATTATATTCATGCTCATCTTACAGATCATTACTTATTTTATTTACCATTCTGTATCTTCTATATAAACTTCTCCACACATTTCACTCTTCATAATTCTATCTTATTCAATCCATCTTAGTTTAAATCATTATATTTGTATCTTTTGCCCATCCTTTATTATCCCTCTATCTCATTCCTTATAATGAGAAAAAAAAAAAAGAATTTCTCCTGAAATCACTAATCAGAGTATGATGCCTTTCTATCCTCTCCCTAAATTAATTAGACTAACATTTAAAATAACACCTAATACCCAATTTGATTCTGCTTGGTACATTCTATCTACTAATTTTTACTTTTAGTAACAATAAAAACAGAGTAAAAGATCAAAAATGTTTAAATACATAATATCCTCCTAAATACGTAGTTAAATAATAAATCTAAATAATAAATCTTATAGCATTCTCATTGCCTTTCCCTTCAATATTTTATTACATTTTAAAAATCAATCATTATTAAACATTTCAACATTTTAATTTCTTATTAACTCTTAAGAGCTTAAGAGTTAATAAGAAAAACCTGTCAAACTTTGTTGTAAGGAGTTCCTTGAAATATTCTGTCTTGAATGGATTTCTGCCTGCAGCATTTGCTTTGCTTATGAATAGAGCCATCTAGATACAGGTGAAACTTGAAAAATTAGAATATCGTGCAAAAGTTCATTTATTTCAGTAATGCAATTTAAAAGTGAAACTAATATACGAGATAGACTCATTACATGCAAAGCAAGATAGTTGAGATGATTATGGCTTACAGCTCATGAAAACCCCAAATCCACAATCTCAGAAAATTAGAATATTGTGAAAAGGTTCAAAGTGTCCCACTCTAATCAGCTAATTAAGCCATAACCCTACAAAGGGTTCCTGAGCCTTTAAATGGTCTCTCAGTCTGGTTCAGTAGGAATCACAATCATGGGAAAGAGTGCTGACCTGACAGTTGTGCAGAAAACCACCATTGACACCCTCCATAAGGAGGGAAAGCCTCAAAAGGTAATTGCAAAAGAAGTTGGATGTTCCCAAAGTGCTGTATCAAAACAGATTAATAGAAAGTTATGTGGAAGGGGAAAGTGTGGAAGAAAAAGGTGCACAAGCAGCAGGGATGACCACAGCCTGGAGAGGATTGTCAGGAAAAGGCCATTCAAAAGTGTTGGGGACTTTCACAAGGAGTGGACCGAGGCTGGAGTCAGTGCATCAAGAGCCACCACACACAGATGGATCCTGGACATGGGCTTCAAATGTCGTATTCCTCTTGTCAAGCCACTCCTGAACAACAAACAACAAACAAGCGCCTTACCTGGGCTAAAGAAAAACAGACCTGGTCTGTTGCTCAGTGGTCCAAAGTCCTCTTTTCTGATGAGAGCAACTTTTGCATCTCATTTGGAAACCAAGGACCCAGAGTCTGGAGGAAGAATGGAGAGGCACACACTGCAAGATGCTTAAAGTCCAGTGTGAAGTTTCCACGGTCTGTGTTGATTTGGGGAGCCATGTCATCTGCTGGTGTTGGTCCACTGTGCTTCATTAAGTCCAGGGTCAACACAGTCCGTCTACCAGGAGATTTTGGAGCACTTCATCCTGATTTGGGGCCAGTCAGATGCCTTGTGAACAATACATGGCGGAAAGAAAGGAAGGAGTAGATGGGGGAGTGGATGGATTGTCCAATGACTTGGCTTCAGCTCCAAGGCCAATTTTGTTGCCCCTTGATCTAGTTTGGCTGCTTAATTTCCTTTTTTTGCTCTCATTTTAGGGACGGGCTGGCAGTGATGGTGCCCGGGGGATGCCAGGCCAAACGGGAACGAAGGTAACTGGGCCAAACCAATCCACCTCTCGCCTCTCCCAGTGGTGTCCTTTTCCCAGAAAACCTGCAGCATCCAGGGAGGAATCCCACGCTGAACGGCAGCCGTTAGCCTTCTGCACGAGCTCTCTTTCTTTCTATGTCCTCACTTGGCTTTCATCAAAAGAGACAAGCAGTAATGCCCAATCTGAATTCAGGGACATTTGCCTGGAAGTTGTATATTAGCAGGTTTAAGTGGCTGATTATGTAGGTACTTAACGTGGAAAGAGAGGTGGGGAGGGAATTGTTAAAGAGAAGGAGGGCTGCAAATCATTTGCTTCTTCTCCGAGTCTCTTGGTCTCTGAGCTTCGAGGAGGAGGGAGAGAGCTGGCAGGAGCATAATTGATGGCGAGAAGAGGTAATAACCAATTCCAACAAGTGAGGGGTGTGCAAGGATGCTCCATGACTCAGGAGAATCCCCATCCATCAGCTTTCTCCTCATAGATCCTGCAAGGACAGCTTCAACTGCTTTCGGAAAGGACCAGGCCATTCATTTGTGGGAAGAAACATCCAACTTATTCAGTTCCGAGCCAGGGAGGAAAGGCACTGGAGACAAAATGGAGGCTGGAGGCTGATTGGAAAGAGGGTTGAATGAGGAACAGAACCACAAGCATGTGTGATTCTGGGTAGCTGACCCCATGGAGTTGAGAGTGAAGGTCTTTTTTATACCTTCTCTTGGGCTTTGCACTTGAGGTTCCCATTCCTGTGCAAGAACATGTATTCTATTGGCTGTTGTCAGACTCCCATGGGGTTATGTAGGGGTCATAGCTGGCTCTATAGGTTGTCTGAGCTAGGTTTGATTGAAGTTTGGCCTGCTCTGCGATGATGCAATGAAGGAGCTTGTGTTCTGAAAGGGTGTTGGGCAATTCCTGTTATGGCTTAATGGCTTTGTCCTGGTTTGGATCTTGAGTGAGGGCTAATCCTATCACGCTGCCTTTGTTCAGACTTTGCTGCAGGGAGTAATGGATTACTAAATCTGCATTTCTAAAAGCTGCCCCAGCTCAGTATCTGCTTGGAGGCAGAGAGCTGGGGCTCTTCTGTCTCCCTTAAGATTTTTTATTTCTCTTTGAGGGGGAAATATTATATTCTGCCTTTTTAAGTATTCCCTAAAATATTTCATTCTTCTAGGAGAGAGATGAGTGCTAACTTTCTACACATTCTTCCAAGCCTCCTCCTTCTCGTGGGTTAGCACAGGAGACTCTGCACAATTTGCACACCTAGAGAACTGTGCCTGCAGGTGTCAGAGAGGCATTCAACCCTGGGTCAGGGGAGAGGATGCAGCGCTGTGAAGAAAGGGACTGGGAAAAACAGAGGTGGAGATTCTGCTTACAGGAATAAAAAAAAATAACATCAGCGAAAATAATAAGGTTTAAAAATAGAGGTTGGGTTGGAAAAGCATCTGCTAGTTACGTAAAAAAGATCTATATTTTAGGAGAGATGAGGAATGAGGGGCAGCGTGGATTTTTAACACATTTTAAAATAACTGCATAAAAAATGCAACCTGAACCCCCTTCCTCCTTCACCTTCAGGGAGTTTCGTCTGGCTTCCCTTTCGCTGCCCAGGCAAGACAGTGAGGAGGCCGGTGGGTGGGTGGAAGGAAGCGTGAGGCAGACACAGATGAACAGAGTTGGAAGGGACCTTGCAGGTCATGTAGTCCAACCCCTCGCCCAGGCTGCCTGGTGCTTTGGCCCCTTTCTTGGGATGGGAAGCAAGAGAAGGAATAGTCAGGGAGGTGGGTGCCTGAAATCAGATGCTGCCTGCGACTGGAGATCTCGGGGTCTCCTGAGACCTCCAGGGCCTCCCCAAAATTGCCATTTTTAATGTGACCTTTTGGGAAGTCATCCTATTTAAATTTCATTGCAGTTAAACAAAACCTAATTGAGCTCCTGCCCAACTCTTTGTTCTGGCTCACCTCCAGAGACTCCCTGATGCCAAATTGGCCTAAAAAGGTTTTTTTTAAAAAAAAATCCTGTTCTGAGTCGAGAGTGTGAATGCCTGAAATGGGGAAGTGAGCACAAAGCGGCCTCTGGAACGGAGACCAGTGAATGGAGGGGGGTGTTCCAAGTCTCTCTGAGGGCCCCCATCTTCCACCCCACTTTAGCCAATGCTCCCCCCTCCCCCTCCCTTTCCCTTTCCCTTCCCTCCCCCTCCTTTTCCCTTTCCTCTTCCTTTCCATTTCCCCTCCCTTTCCCCTTCCCCTCTCTTACCTTCCCCTTCCCTTTCCCTCCCCTTCCCCTTCCTTTGCCTTTGCCTTCTCTTGTCAGAGCGTTTGGCAGCAGGACTACCTTTATGAGATAACCCAGGAGCAACACACAGCACACAGAGACATTAACAGTGGTTTAATATTCAACAGATATATACAAATAATATACACGTGGTGGCAAAATACCTTTACAATCAAGCTTTCTTCTTCCTAACCCTTGGAGAACTTCTGCAGTGAACACCGGCCACGAGGAAAGAGAACCACCCCCTCTAAGGGCTGCCTTTTATATACACACCTCTTAAGGGGATCTTTACTCTCCAGCCTTAAAGGGAAATACCCAGACTCTGCTGAATCACTCTTGTGACCTCAGCCAGACTTACATCAGATCCGCAGCATCTAGCAGCTACTCACTGCTGGTCAGTTCTTCAATCTTAATATACCTTAACACTCCTCCTATTTAAAACTGAACAGCAGATAAACCAAACGCTTTCACTTAGTTATACGTTTCTAGAGATACAAGCTTTTTTTTTTTTTAACACATCATGTTATATTCCAGTCTGTAGAACCATCGTTTTCCCTCCTCTCTTTGCACTTCCCTCCATGCTTGGCCCTCTGAAAGAGAAGGTGGGAGCAGCCCAGGTCCTTTCGGGGTTAACTTAGCTAGAGGAAGGAATCGGGAAAGAGTCCGAGGAGAGTCAGAGCCACCACCAGGCCAATGCTGATGTTCCCAAGGAGGCTTTCACAGGTGAAGGCTGGGCAGGCACAGGAGCTCCTAAAATGTAGGAAGACGCCGGCCTTTGCCTGTTAGCCCAGGTTCCCAGGCTGCTTGAGCCCATTCTCTTCCGCCAAGTGGGCCCACAAGGAGACCAGGCGTTTCTCCACCCAGAGTCACTCCTCTGTCCATCTTCTCCAATCCTGCTTGGAGTTGGGGCTCCCTGGGTGCTTGGCTCTGCATGGGCCACTCCTGAGAGCTGGGTCACACAATCGGCCACCTCTTCTGGACCTCCCTCTGAATTTCCTTGCAGGGCGACCGAGGTTTCGATGGCCTGGCTGGGATCCCTGGAGAAAAGGGGAACCGGGTAAGTCCTGCCTACGTTTCGGCGTTGTTCAGCTTTCCAAAGGTTGCTAAGGAGGAGAAGACGGCCTCTGTGGGGTCTTCTTTTTCTTCCTTTTATTTCTGCTGCCCGTCATTGGTTTTGACTGGCCAATTTCTCAGAGTGGATGGGAGAGGACGAGGAAGACCATCTGACCTTTACAGGGGGGTCATTCCCTGTCACCTGGAATGATCTGGGGGCTTGAGTGGCAGGCTCAGTCACTTGTGACTTTTCCCTGCCTCCGTTATGGGGGACGAGAGTCATCCATGATATTTTTTCAACAAGGGAAGAGAGGGAGGGAGAATTTAAGGCCAGGACAGTCCCAAAGCTGCTTTTTTTTTTCCAGGAGGCAACTGGACTTTCTTCTTTTTTCCTTTGAAGACGTTTCGCTTCTCACCCAAGAAGCTTCTTCAGCTCTGACTGGATGGTGGGGAAGGGAAGGATTTATACTCCTTACAGAGAGCTGGTCCTTTGCAGCCTTTTAGTTGAGGCCACTTGGAGGTTTATCTGTGTCCTCGGGGTCACCTGAGTGGTGCAAATGGTTCCTGCAGTCTGCCATTTTCCCTCTCTGGGAATCCGTTCCTAGTCCCACACTGTTCAAAGGATGTTCATCCCAAATTGTGTAACTAAAAGTCTGTAGGAATGGATTTCCAGAGGGAAAAAATGCAGACTACAGCAGACTATTCGCTAGAACCGGTTGTTAACATTCTAAGCAGTTCGGAGAACCGGTTGTTAGAAGAAATTCCTGGCCTAATCCTGTAAGGAAGGCAGGAAGGAAACATTCTGGGGTTGCTTACAGAAACTGCCTCTTCGTTAACCCTTATTAAATTCTTGGCAGGATGAGACTTCCTGTCTCAGGAACTTCTCTGGAGTTTTTTCACCCTCCTTTGCTGGTACTTTGCTTGTGTGGAGTGACCATTCAAAGTTACAATGGCACTGAAAAAAGTGACTTATGACCCCTTTTCACATTTACGACTGTTGCAGCATCCCCACAGTCATGAGAGGCCAGGGGAGGAGATGCATGCCTCGATGTGAGTGATGTTGAGTTGGCCACACCCAGCCAATAACATGACCACCAAGTCACGCCCACCACCTAAGCCACACCCACAGAACTGGTTGTTAAAAATTTGAATCCCACCCCTGGACTACAGGAACCATTTGCACCACTCAGGTGACCCTCAGGATACAGATAAACCTCCAAGTGGCCTCAACGACTCTGTAAAAGGATGCAACTGGCCAGCTGTCTGCAAGGAATATAAATCCTTCCCCACCATCAAGTCAGAGCTGAGGAAGCTTCTTGGGTGAGAAGTGAAACGTCTTCAAAAGAAAAAAAAAGAAAGTAAGCCCAGTTGCCTCCTGAAAAAAAATGGGGATGTTTGGAACAACCATGACCTGAATGACTGAGAAATCTCTGCAGACATTCCTCCAGGACTGCTTTTTTTTTTTTAAACAAATCCCACATTTTTCTTAACTTTCAGCCATTGCCACAGAATCTTATGTGTGCTGTAAAAAGAAAAGAAAAAAAGGGGGGGAGGGGCTTTTGAAACATTGAAGAGGGAGGTTGGGGGTGAAACGGACGTCTGGGACCAGCCCCGAAATCCCCAGTGCAGCTGCGTGTTGTTGCGGTGTGGAAGATTTTAACGGCGGGCTTGTTCAAGGAATTGAGGACGCTTCTGAGGTTTTTCCCCAAACGCTGCTTGAAAACTTTTAAACAATGACACATCCAGGCCAACCTGAGAGAGGATGTCAGCAGGAAAACGGAAAGTGATTTGCAGATAATGATCTCACGGAGAAGTCCCGGTGTTTTGAAGCAGGCACAAAACACTCCCAGGAGGCAGCTGGCTCTGTGGGCTTCGACCGTTGTCCTTTTTGAGACCTCCCGTGGCCAATAGTTTGGGCAGCTCTTTACTGCTCCCCAATAAAAATAACGGCCATCTGGGGTGCCACATTAATCCCCTTTCTTTCCTGCTGGTACCTTGGAGATCTTTACATTGGCATTTGATCACCTGGATGCCCCCTTTCCATTTAAATCCCTGTTTCCCTAATTTCCTAATAGCGTTTCTGTTTTTATTTTAATTTCACGTTTGACTCTGTCCGCCAATTGCCTGCACAGAGGAAGCAGCTGGTGCCTTGCAGGAGGTTTGACTGCCATGCCAAGAGTTGTAGGAGGGCACAGGTGGCTGGGCGGGGCAGGGATAGCAGGCCTGGCCTCTTGGGGTAAAAGGGATCAGATTAGAAGCTGGAAGGGACCTTAGAGGTCTTCTAGTCCAACCCCCTGCTCAAGCAGGAGAACCTACACCATTTCAGATAGATGGCTGTCCAGTCTTTTCTTAAAAACCTCCAGTGATGAAGCACCTATAACTTCTGGTGGCAAGATGTTCCACTGGTTAATTGTCCTCCCTGTGAGGAAGTCTCTCCTTAATTCCAGGTTGCTTCTCTCCTTGATTAGTTTCCATCCGTTGTTTCTTATCTTGCCTTCTGGTGCTTTGGAGAATAATTTGACCCCCTCTTCTTTGTGGCAACCCCTCAAATATTGGAACATTGCTATCATGTCACCCCTAGACCTTCTTTTCTCTAGACTAGCCATGCCCAGTTGCTGCAACTGTCCTTCACATGTTTTAGTCTGCAGGCCTTTAATCACCTTAACTGCTCTTCTCTGCACTTTTCCCAAAGTCTCAACATTTGTTTTGTAATGTGGGGATCAAAACCGGATGCAGCATTCCCGTTGTGGCCTTACTAAGGATTTATAAAGTGGTACCAATATTTGCTTGGGCCTTCATCCACCCAGTGTCAGGATTCCAGCAATCGCCCTAATTAAATCATGACTCTCGAGCCAAACTTCAAAAAACTTCAAAGGATTCATTAGAGCCGACATACTGGCACCACCCTGTATGCAACCAACTCTGGCATAGGTAATTTACAGTCCCCTGTGGCCCAGTCACCCGTCCCCCCGGGTGTGTCATCAATCAGATTCTCCAATTGAGCACCTTCACGGCCGGGTGTCATCAATCAGGTTCTCCAATTAAATATATTCGCGGGCAAAAGCTCTGGTATTTAAGTTACAACCTTTTAAAGAGAAGAGTTGGAATGTACTTTCGCTTTACTGCCCTACTCTTCCAGATTTCCTTCCCCCTCCCCACTTTTTATGGCAACTACTAAAACAGGCCTAGGGATGTTTTATGAGATGACACTCAGTGGGACCTTTAGAAGGGTGGACAGTCCACAAGGACTTCCAAGGAGATCTAGAAGAACAGGAGAGAGACCTTCCTCATCCACACAGAATCTGTTGGTCTTCTCCAATGGTATTTGGTCCATAGTTATGGAAGACTCTGCCAGGAAATTCTCTCAGCCTTTGACTGTTAAGAGGTGGTTTTTTGGGGGGGGGGGGTAGGGGGACGGGGAGGCATCAAAACATGGCTGATGCTGGCCTTTTTCCCCCCTCTCTTCAGGGTGATCCTGGCCCCTCGGGCCCCCCAGGACCCCATGGTGAAGATGGTGAAAGGGTGAGTTCTGTCAAGTGTCCTTGTGAACCTTAAATAATTTGGGGGGTCTGTTTATCATGCACTGAGCTTACTTGTGGGATCGAAGCCGCTGTGAATCAATCGCTGCCATCCAGGCGCACGGAGAACGAGTCATGCCTCCAGAGGTGAAACAAAGACCTTCAGAGTTATGGGATATATAGGATCCCACTCTGTACATGGGATGTGTAAATAGAGGAAGGCTTATAGACAAAGGATTCTTGTCAAAATCCTTCAGCTGGTGACTTGATCCCTCCCTGGTTTTCTCTCCCCGGGTCAAATGTAGTCACCCAACTTTCACCTTTTGTTTAAGCAATTCAGCTGCTAGATGAGACCATGATTACAGTGGTCTTGTTCCAGCCATTGGAGTCCTCGTGCTCAGAACAGAACAGAATAACCGAGTTGGAAGGGACCTTGGAGGTCTTCTAGTCCAGCCCCCTGCTTAAGCAGGAGAGACCCCACATATTCCAGACAAGAGGCTGTCCAGTCTCTTCTTAAAAACCTCCAGTGATGGAGCAACCACAACTTCTGAAGGCAAGCCGTTCCACGGGTTCAGGGGTGGGTCAAACTGGGTTTCTTCGAGGGCTGGATCAGCATTGTAGGGTCGGCGGGGGGGGG